GGGGAAGCTCAGCTGAAATCCGTCCACTGTGAGTGACCCTGCTAGTATTTGAATACCAGTAGCGTAGCTTCCAGCATCACAGCAACACTAAAGCCCCCACAATACGACAAACTGACAGACGTGGGGGAGGCATTGCACTAAGTGTTTTAAATGCATTATTTCATTTTATCTCTATAGCAATCCGGTAAGAAAACAAAAAACCCAAACCTGTTGCTGTTAAGTTGCTTCCTACTCACAGTGACCCTACAGAACAGAGTAGAACTGCCTCATAGGGTTTCCAAGGAGCAGTGGGTGGATTTGAACTGCTGACCTTTTGGTTAGCAGCCAAATGCTTAACCATTGCGCCACGAGGGCTCCAAATCCTATGAGAGTAGGTAGTATTTCCATTGTACAGGTGAGGAATCAGACAGGAGTCATTTAACTTCCCCAAGGTAAGAAAGCTAGGCAGCAAAGGAGGTGGGGCACGAAACTGGTTTTTTTCAGACTTAGTATCTCTCATATCCACTACCTCATTTCCAGAGTAGATTCCAGCTCCTTAGCCTAGCACTTGAGGGACTAAAACCCGTTGCTGTTGAGTCAATTCCGACTCATAGCAGCCCTATAGGACAGAGTAGAAACTGCCCCATAGGGTTTCCAAGGAGCGCCTGGTGGATTTGAACTGCCAACCTTTTGGTTAGCAGCCGAGCTTTTAACCACTGTGCCACCAGGGTCACTTGAGGGACTGCCAACCCCCAAATCTGGTCACAACCTCCCTTTCTCGCCTTTTGTCCGTCCCTAACTACTTACTGTTTCTTAAGTGTTCTTTCTTCTATGCCTTTTTCACACTCTTTTTACCACTTTAAAGTCAGCCTCTCCCATCTTCCCCTGCCCTCCACGCCCAAGGTAAAGGTAGTTTCTTACTTCTCAGAACACCTGAGGTATTTTATCTGACTCTCTTTTATGGCAGTTAGAACTTGCAGCTGCTTCATTGTCATGTGGGTGACATGTGTCTTGTGTCCCCAGCCCTCAGTCCCAAGGGAGAAAGGATCAGGGTCTGAGACTAAGCAGCACACATCCAACTTCACTCTGGCTAACCAACCCACTGCCAGTGCATCAGGAACTTAGCTTCTTTTTAAAAGAATTGGGTTTACTTTTAAATTTGCTTCAGAGAAACAAAATGAAGAAGTCAAGTCTACAGCAAAATAAATCATTATCTTCCAAAGTTAAATAGAATGACGTTAGTATTATTGGTTGTTTGGGGCTTCCCATTGGCTCAGACAATTGGAAGTTGGTAATCAAGAGATCTGTGTGTAATCATATTTCTGTATGTGGCCTTGAGCAGCTCACTTAACCTCTCAGGACCTTGGTTTCTTCATCAGTATAGTGCGTGTATGAGGTAGGCAGAGAAGAGGCTTGGGAGGGTTGATGGAAATTATCTCTAAGGTCTCTTCTTGCCCAAACACGCTTTGACCTGAACTCTCGTCAGAAAGCAGAATAACGTGGTAATTAAGAATATGGGCAGTTCACCATAATTTAAAAAAAAAAAGAATACAGGCCCAGGACTTAGTGTATCAGTCTAGATGTTCTTGGTTGCAAGCAAAAAAAAATCTAAACTCAGTTGGTTTAAACAGAAAAGAGAATTTATTGACTCATGTAATTAGAAAGTTTAGGAGCAGGTCAGGTTTCAACTGTGGTCTAATTTAATTCAGAGATTGTCACTGTCTTCAGGACCGTGACTCCATTTCTCTGTGATTCTTCCAGCTCTGCGATCCTCCATGGGTAGCTTCATCCTCAAGATAGCAAAATGGCTACAACAGTTCAAGGCCTTATATCTCCACATCACGCTAGTTGAAAGCAAGAACTTTTCTCCCCTCCACCATCAAACCAAGGTCTTGGGCTTTGCTCTGACTGAACCAACTTACATGTCCACTCGTCATCCAAACTCTGACCAGGGGATACCAAGGGCTGATTGGCTCAGGTCAGTTTAGGCTGAACTCTAGAGATTAGGGAAGCATCACCCCACCCAAATCACATGTCGGTTACACAGTGGGTGCAGGATAGAATGGATGCTAGAAGTTTGACCGCATCGTCCACCGTTACAGTCACATTGTCCATGATCAGATTCTGACTCTGCTATCTGTGTAATCTGTAAATTTTTTAACTTTATCAATTTCCTCATCTGTAATATGAGATAATAATTGTAAAAATGGCATAGCAGAGGCATCTGACTTCCTGTAACTTCACAAGGGGGAAGGAGAATCACAATCAACCGCCCAAGGCTGATTCCTTTGAGGCAGAGTCAGACATACCTTCTCTCTCTGCCATTTTTACTAATTCTGACACCAGCGTCCCTCCTATGGCACTCTCTACTACTATGCTTGGTTCAATAATTCATTGCAATGGCCACATAGAATTCACAGACAACACTCACGATTAGGGGGTTTATTAGGGAAGTAACAGGTTACGATTCAGGTTCAGGAACACTCAGGATACAGTTCTTACATCAGGACAGCCTCTTCTCAGCCATGGCTGCAGGCTGGCCTCGGCTCGGCTCGGACAAGTGTTACAGAGTTCTTTTAGCTCTGCCAGTAAGTGTCCAGAGGTACCCTATCCTGCCAATAAGCCTCAGCCTGAAGGCTCTTAGCTCTAGCTCCGTGGGTCAACAAACCTAGCTCCACCAAGTGCCCAGAGGCACCCTACTTCGCCAGCAAGCCTCCTGCCCAAAGGCACTCAGCTTTCTCGATCCTAACCCTAACACTGAAACCACCCCCACCCCCCACCCCAGTTCCAGGAGCTTCTCAGTGCAGGAATCCTGGGTCCAAAGGACGTGCCCTGCTCTTGGTTCTTCTTCCTTGGTGGTGGTGAGATCCTCTTCTGGCCTCTGGAGTGACTCATTTTAAGCCTAGTGGAGTGACAAAACTGACCAGTCCCCTTGGTGGGCCACAATTACCTTATTTGCACAGTCTCACTCCATCACTTGGTGGGAGTTACCAAGACCATGATGAGAAAGGTCACACAAAAGTGATCCGTCGCACCGCAATAATACATATCTCAAAGCACTGTTGTGGGGATTAAATTAAATAACACATAAAAAGCACTTAAAGGAGTCCTGGTGGTGCGGTGGTTAAGCACTCAGCTACTAACTGAAAGGTGGGTAGTTCGAGCCCACCAGCCTCTCTGTGAGAGAAAGATGTGGCAGTCTGCTTCTGTAAAGATTTACAGCCTTGGAAACCCTGTGGGGCAGCTCTGTTGTGTCCTGTAGAGTCGCTGAGTCGGAATCCACTCGACGGCAGCGAATTTGTTTTGTTTTTGGTTTATGAAAAACACTTAGGTTAGTTCCTGTAAGTGCTCGGTAAATGATGCTGATGTTGATGTTGGTGATGATGAAATTGAGGAGCAGGGAGGAATGACGTTAGCCCCAATTTAAAAAGCAGCTAAGTTACTGGAATGTTATTTAATTAGAAGCATGTGTACCTGTCATGTTGAAGACTCCTGTTTGATCTGTTGCCCACTCTATACTCTTCCCTATCTGCCTTTCTTTGCACTTATATTCTTTACTGTCTAGAAATGCTTTCCTTCATCTCTCCTGCCTCTCTAAATCTTTCTCATCTTTCAAGGCCCAGCACAAGTGCCACCTCTTCCAAGTAGCCTTCCTTGACTATTCTCATTGTCTTTCCCTCTTTTGAAACTCCAGTTGAACTCACAGTTAATGGTTTAGGTCAGTGACTTGTGTAATTAAGTCTCCCCATGAGCAGAATCAGTAATGGTTAAGAGCTCAGTTTCTGGAGTTAGAGAGACCTGGGTTTGCCACTTATTATCAGTTGGGAGAGTTATTCAGTGTCCTTATGCCTTAGTTTCCTCATTTGTAAAACAGAGTCTTACTACTAGTACCTACCTCAGAGAGTTGTTGAGAGAATTAAATGAGTTATTATATGTAAAGAGCTTAGTACAGTGCTGGCACAGAGTAAGTAACAGGTATTACCTGTTGCCATCAAGTCAATTCCAACCCATAGTGACCCTAGACGACAGAGTGGAACTGCCCCATAGGGTTTCCAAGGAGTAGCTGGTGGATTTGAACTGCCGACCTTTTGGTTAGCAGCTGAGCTCTTAACCGCTGTGCCACCAGGGCTCCAATAAGTAATAGATATTAGTGGTTATTATTATAATACTAGCATCATAAGAGCAAATTCTGTGTTATAGTCTCTGTAGCAGTTACTCCTGTGCTGGGCACATAATAGGTGCTGAATAAACACTTGTTAAAGGGTTTTGAGGAGTATAGAAGCTCTCCTCTCCACAACCAACCCACAAAAAAGAAAGAAAAAAGTAGCCCCTAAACCTTGCCTAAGTCAGTGTAGCGAAGTAGATAATGTACAAGGTGATTTTTTTTTTTATTGTACTTTAGGTGAAGGTTTACAGAATAAATATTTTCTCATTAAACAGTCAGTACACATATTGTTTTATGACATCGGTTAACAACCCCATGACATGTCAACACGCTCCTTTCTCGGCCTTGGAGGACCTTTTTTTTTTTTTTTGTGAAAATATATGTAGCCAAACATACACCATTTGAAAAATTTCTACATGTACAATTCAGTGACGTTGATTACGTTCTTCCAGTTGTGCTGCTATTCTCACTTTAGATGAAGGTTTACAGAACAAAATAGTTTCCCATTAAACATTTGGTACACATATTACCCTGTGACAGTGGTTAAGAACGCCACTACATGTCAACACTGACCTTAACCTGAGGTTCCCTATCACCAGCTTTCCTGTCCCCTTCTGCCTTCTAGTCCTTCTCCCTGGACTGCTGTGCCTCATTAGTCCCATTTTGTTTTATGGGGCTGTCCAATCCCTGGCTGAACGGTGAACCTAGGAAGTGACTTCACCACTGAGCTAAAAGGGTGTCCAGGGGCCATAATCTCCGGGTTTCTCCAGTCTCCGTCAGGCCAGTAGATCTGGTCTTTTTTTGGTACAAGGTGATTTTATTAAAGAGTGACTGGCAAGGAGGATGAGGCGACAGAGAGGGGTGGCTCTTACGTAAGCAACAGGAAGCTAAGTGGAAATCAGCAAGAGGCTGTTTTATGTTCCACCCTCCAGCTATCAAGTTGATTACTGCCCAAGTCGTCATTTGATTCAGCTGGTAATGAAATGGGAGTCAACCAGTCTGTGGGCTTTCCACCTGTAACAGGACCTCACCTCGTAGGCTGCGGGGATGTGATGGAGGGTCAGAGTCTCCAGGTAAGTGTCTCCCGCTCTGTCCCTGCATATCTCCCGCTGCGTCCACCTGCACCATGATTCATTGCTAGCAAGTCTGATTGTGCAGTCTTAGATAACTGAGTCAGAGCTGGTCTGGATTTGCTTATGAAGCCCAAGTGATTATGTCTCTCTGACCCCAGGTCTGTCTTCCCTGACCTTTTTCTTCCTCTTTCTAACTATAAACATCCCAGTACACAGAGATAGCGGATTGTTTTTCCAGCTAGGAGGAAAGGGGGCTCCAGTGTCAAAGCAGCTCTCAGATCCTCTTGAGGGCAGATCCCGGAGAGGTTTTTGATCTCACCCTAGTCCGAATGTATGAGAGGAAGAGCAATGGGTCATGTGCCCTTGGCCTTTGACTCCCAGAGCTGAGTAGGAAGACAGCCTCCTTTTTCTCCTCGCCTGCCTCCATCTTTTTTCCTTTCCTTTTTTGGCTTCTGGGTTCTCCCTCATCATTTCCCAGGTCTTCCTCTGCTGGCCCGTGCTGGCCCTTGTGAGAAGCACACACTTCCTGGTAACCCCTCACCTACTGTCATGTAAAATGAGTGTGGTGCTGCTTCCCTAGGGTCAGCCTGGAGGAGTGGCCTGGGTCACCCACTGATCCTACCCCATGCAATGCAAGGTCTAATCTCTGGCTCCCGAGGTTCCTCCAGGCCTGAGCTCAGGGCCAGCTTTAAACCTTGGGAGGGCCCAAAGCAAATAGTTTGGAATCCCCCAGATACAATTCAAAATACAGTTGGATATTTGAAATAACATAAGACTTACATGTATATTAAACATAAAATTGCTTCCTTCTGGGTTTTCTGAAAACAGAGTTCATATGTATTAATTGAACCTTAAGTTTCCCCCGTTTAGGTGCCCTGCTTTGCTAGTGCCCCAGACACCTGCTGAATGTGTCTGTTGGGAAACCTAGCAGTGCCTGGGCTTCTTGCTCTCAGCAGCTGCTCTCTTTTGTCCTGCAGGGGAGCTTCTTTCGACTCTTCTACCCCTGCCAAGAGGCAGAGGAGACCATGGAGCAGCCCCTGTGGATTCCCCGCTACGAGTACTGCTCTGGCCTGGCCAGTTACCTGCAGTTTAATAAGCACTGGGGAGGTTTGCTGTTCAACCTGGCTGTGGGTAAGGGCTGGCTTGACCCCTGGATTCTTTTCCAGGTGCTTGGTTATGTTCCTAGGAGATCACCAGGAAGACACAGCACCTTATAGCTTGCATTGTTCAGGAGAGGGTATTGTCCAGGCCTTTGGTAGTGGGACATTCATTTGCTCAGTGTAGTGTGGAGGGTTGGGAGAGAATTATATACATAAGAGCTTGGGTTTTGCAGTTAGACTGTCCTGGGTTCAAATCCAGACTTAATAGTTCACTAGTTGTGGGCCTTGGGCAAGTTACTTAACCTGTCTGAACTGTGGCTTTTCTCATCCATTAAATGCCTACTTTCCAGGGTTGTTGTGTGGATGTACGTAAAGCACTCTAGTGCAATGGTTGGGACTTAGAACGTTTTCTGCAAATGGTGGCTGTTACTCATTTATTCAGTGTGCATTAATTCCCACTCGGTACCAGCTGTTGTGTAGATCAAAGAAACATTCTTAGCTATCGAGCATACAGTCTCCTGCAGTTCTCCTCTTCTGGGTAGGGTCACAGTGAATGATCCAACTCCCCCAAAGGCCCCACCCCTAGGAGCTCTACCAGCTGCCTTGGCATGTCAGGGATTTACCCCAGAGTTGTTCAGTATCGCCCCTTTGGATGTATCTTTCCATTTTCTGTTGTACTCCCACCCCCTAGAGAAGAAAAGGGGAAAGAATATGATAACTGCCCCGGGATGCCCAGGGGGGAACAGCAGTTCTCTAGAGGGAAGGAACACATGCCCTCCCCTGTGCCTGTGCCTGGCTGCCCTTGAGATTACAGCTTTGGGGCAGCCAGAGGTTCTATACCCCATGTCTCTGCTAGGATCTTGTCGCCTGCCTGTCAGCTGGAATGGCCCCTTTAAATCAAAGGACTCTGGATACCCCTTGATCATCTTCTCCCACGGCCTGGGAGCCTTCAGGTAAGAGCTTCTCTCCCCTAGACTTTGTCATAGTCCTTGCTTAGGGACGACTGCTGATTCTGAACTTACTCTCAAAGGGCAGAGAAATAGGCATTTCCATCTGCTAGCTGTCTTATCTACTGTCCACTTCATTCCGTAGCATTGAATTCACCTTCTGTAGAAGGCCTTTCCTATGCCCCTTTCATCTCTTCTCCCAGCTTCATATCCTTGACTTCTCATGTTCCAGCATTTATGTAAATATGCCCTTTTCGCTTTCTTCCTATATAACAGCCCAGAAGTACTAGAAGGAGCTTGAGCTTTATAGACAGTCATTTATACAATATTTGTTGAGTGACTACTGTGTACATGGCACTGGTGTAGCAGTAATAAGATAGGCTTGTTCCCTGCTCTCATGGTCTAACCTACAAATGTCTGCCGTACCAATTGTAATCTGTGTGAGCTTTGGAGAGTTTTATAATTCTCTGAGCCTAGATTTCATCATGTCAAATGTGGAAGCCACTCTCACAGGGTTATTTATGAGGATTCAATTAGATTGGCACCTAGTAGGTTTATATCCTTGTCCGTTCTCTCCATTTCTCTCCATGGAGAAACATGGTAATGGTGAACTGTAAGATACATTTTACCAGACTTCAAGAAACTTTGGCCTGAGTTTTATAATTCAGTATTCATTTAGAATTCTTTCTGTGAATTCTTATTTCTGCACCTTGGTGTGTTATATTACTTAATATCTGTAATACATGTGTTCCAGTTTAAGCTTGTGAATGTTCTCTGTATATGTTCATCCATCAACATATATAAAGTCTAGCTATATGCCAGAGTGTTCCACATCTCAAAGGCATCTATTCTTGCCTCCATACCCCCCAAACCATTATCTACACTGTAGCCAGAGAGCTCTATTTCAAAACCAAATCTTGTCAGCATTCCCACACCTAGAACAGTACCTTGCGTGTGTGTAGTAGATGCTTAATAAATATTTGATGAATGAATGAATGTGTGTCACTCCCCTACTTAAAACTTTTTGATAGCTCTTTGAACTTAATCCAGCTCTTTTACGTGGTCTTACCTGGAAGCAGGTCCAAGACAAATGTTTCCAGCCTTGTTTCTTGCTACTTGCCTGCCTCCAGCTCTCTAGACAAACTGACCTTCTTTCACTTACTTAAAGGCACTATGTTATTTCCTGCTTCAGTGTTTTTATCTGTGCTGTGTTTTGTGGCTGTTCCCTTTGCCTGGAATATTTGTTGTTCTGCTCCTCTCTTCCTCTTCCCCCTCTCCCTCTTTTGCCTGGCTAATTTCTAATTACCTTCAAGGTCTTTTTGTATGTCACTTCCTCAGGGACACCCATCCTGAGTCCCTATATAAGTTTTTCAGTAATCTGCTCTCATAATACATAATTGCCATTCATTTCCGTAACTGTAATGATTTAATTATTTGTGCAATCCTCCAACACCTGTCTTTCCTACTAGATTTTAAGCTTCATGTAGGCAGAGCCCTTGTCTGTCTTATATCTCTCCCAGTACCTAGGATAGTGCCTGGCAAGTAATAGTTTCTCAGCAGATATTTACTGAATTGATGAAAGAGTGAATACAAGGGCTTATGTTTTGCTGGGTTCTCATTCATTTATTTAGCAAACAACTGTTGAACACCTGCTCTGTGCCAGCCTCTTGGCATGAGGAGAAGGTGGGACATACAGAGATAAATAAATCATGGTCCTTGCCCTCGAGGAACTTATATCCACTAGGGAAGCCAGATTAGGGACTCACATAATTATAGCACACAACAGGAAGTGGAGAGTAGATGTAGAGATGAGGCTAGAAAGGCAAGTAGATAGTTTTCAGTACCCCTTTTTTATTCAATAAATTAAATGCCTGTTATGTGCCAGAGCTTGTGCCAGGTTGGGTATTCGAGTTCCGCTCTCAGGAAGATCATACTCTGATGGGGAAAAGAAACTAAGAAGCATCCCCTCCTAAGCCCCACAGGTATTTTATATAGAGAGCAGGTGAGAACATGGCTTTGAAGAGTGATCTTTTAGACCTAAGATTCTGTGTTGAGACTTCACGCTTCTGTAGGCTTAAGTGAGCCAGTTATAAATACTCTTCATTAACCAGAGTGAAGTTGGAGAAAAAGGATAGGGACGGAAAGGAATGTTGTTTCTTCTCATCATATAAAAAACAAAAAACCAAAAACAAACCTTTTGCCATCAAGTTGATTCCAACTCACGGTGACCCTATAGGACAGAGTAGAACTGCCCCATAGGGTTTCCAAGGAGCGGCTGGAGGATTTGAACTGTCAACCTTTTGGTTAGCAGCTGAGCTCTTAACCACTGCGCCACCAGGGTTCCACTTCTCATTGTATCAGTGGTTAATTTGGGCTCTGGAACCCTTCCCATAGGTCACGGACCTATAACTTTCCATCCCAGGGAGGAGTATATGCATTTAAATACAACAGGCCTTTATAGCCAGTCTCTCATTTGGTTCTCCCACAGTCCTGTGAGGTAGGCAATCAGGGATGCATATTTTACAGATTAGCAAATAGGCTCAGAAAGACAGACTTGCCTGAGGTTATACAGTTTAAATTGGAAAGGAACCAGAAATCTCTGTGGCTCTTAAACGCAGTATTTCTTTTCACTGCCTCCCCTGATAGGAGAAGGTAAAAAAGACACTTAAACTGACCATCTTGAATGAACTAGGATGAGGACAAGTTGTATTTAACAGAAAAACTCCAAATAATAGTGACTTAAAAAAGATAAAAAGTTTATTTCTCTCTCAGGCACTCACAGGTTGATAGGGTAGCACCGTGAAGTCATTAGAGAGCCAGACCTCTTCTATAATCTTGCTCTGCCATGTCTGGCTTCTGTTTCTAAGACTATCTCATGACCCGGGTGGCTGCTTTAGCTCTAGCCATTACGTCTACATTCCAGGCAATAGGAAGGGAGCAGTCTCTTTTTAAGGAGACTTCCTGGAAATTCTGTACAACACAACTGCTTACATCTCATTTGCTAGAGCTGCTCTGTCCAGTACAGTAGCCTCCAGCTATATGTAGCTATTGATCACTTGAAATGTGGCTGGTCCAAACTGAGATGTGCTGTAAATATAAAATATACACTGGATTTCAAAGACTTCATAAGGAAAAAAAGTAAAATGTTTCACTAATTTTAAAATTTTGATTATATATGGAAAAGATAATATTTTAGATATTTAGGTTAAATAAAATATTAAAATTAATTTCACCTGTTTATTTTCAGTTTTTTTAATTTATTTATTTTATTGTTGTTGAGAATATACACAGCAAATTATATCCCAGTTCAACAGTTTCTACATGTCCAATTCAGTGACATTGATTATATTCTTTGAGTTGTGCAGTCATTCTCACTGTCCTTTTTTATTTATTTATTTATTTTATTGTTGTACTTTAAGTGAAAGTTTACAATTCAAGTTAGTCTCTCATACAAAAATTTACACATGCATTGTTATGTGACCCTAATTGCTCTCCCTATACTGTGACAGCACACTCCTCCTTTCCACCACTGATTTCCCATGTCCATTCAAGCAGCTCCTGACCCTCTCTGCCTTCTCATCTCACCTCTGGACAGGAGCTGCCCATTAGTCTCATGTATCTACTTGAGCTAAGAAGCACACTCTTCACCAGTATCATTTTATGTCTCATAGTCCAGTCTAATCTTTGTCTGAAGAGTTGGCCTTGGGAATTGTTTTAGTTCTGGGTTGACAGAGAGTCCGGGGGCTTTGCTTTCTGGGGTTCCTCCAGTCTCAGTCAGACCATTAAGTCTGGTCTTTTTACTAGAATTTGAGTTCTGCACTCCACTTTTCTTCTGCTCCATCAGGGACTCTGTTGTGTTCCCTGTCAGGGCGGTCATTGGTGGTAGCTGGGCACCATTTAGTTCTTCTGGTCTCAGGCTGATGCAGTCTCTGGTTTATGTGGCCTGTTCTGTCTCTTGTCACCCTCCTTTTCTGAGTTGTTCCTCCCCTCTTTTTACTTTTTTAAATGTGTCTACCAGAAAATTCGGAATTATATATGGAGATGACATATTTCTATTGGACCATGATGGGCTAGAACTTAATCACGTAGAATAGCTGCAAGGGAGGCTGGGGAATGTAGTATTTTGATGTAATGACAGTGTCTTCAGCTGAAATTGGATCCTGTTATTAAGGAGGATCCTTTTTTTTTTTTTTTTTTTCTCTGCAAACTTGAAAGACAAAAAGTCTGCATGGTAAATCACATATTAAAGAATTAGCCGGGGTCTCTGTCCTCAAAAAGTTTACCAACTTATTTGGGAGATACACAGCTATATAGTCAATAAAAATGCAATTGTTGAAGTAGTCAAACTGCATTTCAGAAGAAAAGATGAGTCAGTGTTTCCATAGAGTTAGAAAGCACAATGGATTGATCTACGAGTGCTTCCTGGGGGAGGAGACCTGGAGCCTTGGTAAGTGAAGGGTGTGCTGGCTGGAGAGAGCATCTCGACAAGAGCTGCCCCACATAAAACTCCCTCCATTCAATCTTTTGAGGTGGCCACTAGAGCAGAGCATGGTTGGAATGGAAGATAAGGCTGGGCCATTGTTTTGAGCACTTTTCTCTGTTCCTTCCCAAATCTCTAGGACATTGTATTCAGCCTTCTGCATGGAGCTGGCCTCCCGTGGCTTTGTGGTTGCTGTGGCAGAGCACAGGTGAGTGATGACAGTCATAATGACCTATCATGGATTGGGTCCCTGCAGTGGGCTAGGATACAGGCTAGTCACCTATTGATAATTATTTCTGAACCTCACAACCACGCAAGGCAGATATTATCCCCATTTTAAAGGTAAAGAAGTCAAGGTTCAAAGATGTTAAATGCCCAAAGTGATACAGCTCACTTGGGGTTCAAGCCTAGATCTGTCTCTAAAGTCTATGTTTTTTCTACTATACTATACATGCCCCTAGATCTCCTTCTCTGCTAGCCAAAGGATGATCCAAAGTGTCTTGACTCAAAGAGAGAAGTTATTAAAGTAGAAAAGAAAGCTCAAGAGTGTCTTCTGGTTTCTCTCTGATGGCATGTGTATTTCAGGGACCAGTCAGCTGCGACCACCTATTTCTGCAAGAAGGCTCCAGAGAAGAACCAGACCATCAATGAGTCGCTGGAGGAAGAATGGATCCCATACCGTCAACTTGGGGAAGGGGAGACGGAATTCCATGTTCGGAATCCCCAGGTAGGCTTGCGCCAGTTGGGTAGAGGACATTAATAAACCTGTCCTTCCTATACTACATTTACTAAGTGAGACTTTGAACTCAGCCTCTCTCTTGAAATCTCAATCATTGTGAATCTGAACTTGCCACATCAGTGAGGAGAAATGGGGTATTAATCAGGCCTTTTCAATTTGCAAGTGATAGAAACCCAACTTAAGTTTGCTTAAGCAAAAAAGGGAATTGATTGGCTCATATAAGCAGTCTGTAGGAAAGGCAAAACCCTTGACCCCAGACTCGAATGCCATCAGGGCTTTCTCTTCATTTCTCAGCTCTGTCTCTTCTGCTGGTTGGCCTCATTTGCTAACTGGCTTACTTTATGATGTTAGAACTACAGCTCTGGACAGCTCTGAGCTTACATATGTTCAGCCTTACCATCTGAGAGAATAGAGTTTATTTTGGGGGTGCTTTTCCAGTCCCTGCCCCATCCCAAGCTGCAGTTTGAAAAATCTTGGGAGCATCTCCAGGGCTGGAGAAAAGTACAGGTAGTTCCCGACTTACGATGATGGGGTTCTGTTCTCACAACTCCATTGTAAGTTGGTTCTGCTGTAAGTCGAATACCTCTTTTTTTTCAGTTTTCATTATTAGTACCTTTTATTATCAGTATCTTTATAAATCCAATCTTTTATTTGTCTTTAGGGGTTGGAAACATTACATATAAACATAGCTTCAACACTGGCACTTCCTGCTTTTCCAGTTATACACACCAAAAAAGAAAAAAAGGATAGTCGTAAATGCAGTTCATCCGTAACTCAAATACAAGTCCTAAGTTGGAGACTATTTGTACCAAAATTGGGAGTCCTCACCAGAAATACAGGAGAAGGGGGAGAGGTGCTAAGCAGACAAAAAAAATAAACGTGTCCTATAAATCCAGTTTTTTTGTTGTTGTTTTTAGCTGATGGCCTCTTGGCCCCTGACTCATGGTGACCCTGTGCACAATGGAACGAAGTGCTGTCCAGTCCTGCACCATCCCCGTGATGGGTTGTAGTTCAGACCATTGTGATCCGTAGAATTTTCATTGGTTGATTTTTGGAAGTAAATCGCTAGGCCTTTCTTCCTAGTCCATCTTAGTCTTAGCTCTTCTGAAATCTGTTGCATCCTAGCAACACACAAACCTCCACAGACAGATGGGATTTATAGTAATAATAATACTCTTATTTCTTTTTGTTTCCAAAACACTTTCTTGTATATTATTTCATTTAATCCCCCTGACAACCTTATGGGTAGGAAGGTAGAGTCTGAAAAACGTCTGGCTGACTCTGTTATACTGTCAGATGGTGCTTATGGGGGCTGTGGGTGGCGTGAAGGGTTAAGTGCTCAACCGCGAGCCGAAAGATTGATGGTTTGAATCCACCCAGCGGTGCCTCGGAAGACAGGCCTGGTGATCTGCTTCTGAAAGGTCGCACCTTGAAAGCCGTATGGAGCAGTCTGCTCTGCACACATGAGGTCATTATGAGTCGGAATCGACTCGATGGCAACTAACAACAACAACAACATGGGGGCTGGGAAGGAGCTGAGTCTTTCTCAGGACAATGGGGCCCACAGTGCCTGCTAAGATGTAGACGGGCAAACTTCCTTGGCCCTGTAGTTGTGTAAGATTCTCTCCGGGTGGTTGTGCAGTATTCCAGCTCCTATCGGGCCTGTCTCTGTTGCAGGCACATCAGAGGGTGAATGAGTGTGTACGGGTGTTGAGGATCCTGCAAGACGTCACTGCTGGACGGACTGTCCTTAACATCTTGCCTGGTGGGTTGGATCTGATGACCTTCAAGGTATGACAGAACTTGATTTGAGCTGGAATGAATGTATTCATCAGGACTTCCTTGGTTATAACCACTAGCTTAAACCAACAGAGAGTTCTTGGCTCACATAACTGGGAAGACCAAAGGCAGACTGGCTTTAGGCCAGTGTAGCTAGATCCACGGACTGTTCTATGAATGAGGATGATATTTTAAAAAAATAACTGTTTTATGAGTGCTTACTATGATAAGAGCTCCTTACACGAACTTATAAGGTATTATTTATTACTGTTTTTTGAAGAAAGAAACCAAGGACCAAAGAGGCTAAGTGAGTACTTAAGGTTACTCAGCTAAGTAAGTGGTAGAGTCAAACTTTAAACCGGGACTTTTTGATCCCAAAGCATATGCTGTGTGCCCCTTTAGAAAATATCTTTTTAAGGCTCTGGCAAATCCTCCAGGGAGAAACATCTGCTTGGATGGCTAGTAGATAGGGCTAAAGTACCCTAGAACCTGAAATCTAGGGTACTTTACTAACTGTTAGGTGTGTGTCTTCAATCCCTGCCAGACAAACTGGACCTACGATACTCAAATCCAGGCGTGCGTGCCTGTGAGCCTGAGGCAGACACTGGGGAATGGCAGGCTGGTTGAATTAGTTGCAAGGCAGCCTTGTGGGGACATACAGAATTAAAAAGCGAAATTTCACCTATGAGATTGGGTGAGATCCAAAAATTGATAACTCACTATGTTGACAAAGCTGTGGGGAAGTTGGTACTCTCTTCCTACATTGCAGGTGAGAGTACAAATTCCCCTATTGAAAGCAATTTGGCAATAGCTATCAACAGTACAAATGCACGTAGTCTTTGACCCAGCAGTTTCCAGTCCTGGGAATTTATCGTACAGATATCTGCACACGTGCAATATGATATATGTATAAGATTATTCATTCCAGTATTGTTTGTGATAGCAAAAGATTGGTAGTAACCTGTTAAATGTCATGGCAGAGGCATCTGACCGCCTCTAACTTCACAAGGGGTAAGGAGAATCAAGATCAACAGCCCAAGGCTGATTCTTATGAGGTGGAGGTCAGACATGCCTCTACCCTCCAATCTTTTTACCAATTCTGACACCAGCTGCCCCTCCCATGGCACTCTCTACTTCTTTGCTGGGTTTGATAATTCATTGCAATGGCCACACAGAACTCACAGACCATACTCATAGATATTAGGTTTATTAATGAAGTAACAGGTTACAGTTCAGGCTCAGGAATGCTCAGGACACAGTTCTTCCATCAAGACAGCCTCTTCTCAGCCTTGCCTGCAGGCACATCTCTCTCTGGCCCCTTGGCCTCTGCCCTGCTCGGGCAAGTGTTATAAAGCTCTTTTAGCTCTGCCAACAAGCACCCAGAGACACCCCACTCTGCCACTTAGCCTTGGCCAGAAGACACTCAGCTCTAGCTCCATGGGTCAGCAAACCTAGCTCCATCAAGTGCCTGGAGGTACCCTACTCCATCAGCAAGGCTTCCGCCTGAAGGCACTCAGCTTTCTCGCTTCATGGGCTGGAAAGCCCACCACACTGTCTCTTGCCAGTCTTCTGGTTTTGTTGTCACTGTTTCTCTGCTGCAGCTTCTCACTGTCTCTAGTGTTACAGCTCTCTCTCTGTCCCCTGGATCTAGGAGGTTCTCAGCGCAGGGATCCCGGGTCCAAGGATGTGCTCCACTCCTGGCTCTTCTTTCTTAGTTGTGTTGAGAGCCTCTCCTCTCCACCTCTCGGATGGCTCATTTTAAGCTTAGCAGAATGGCAAAACTGACCAATCCCCTTGTTAGGGTTCCATACACCTTATTTGCATGATCTCACTCTCACAAGGGTGCCACACATCTTATTTACGTTATTAGCAAACTATCCAATCCCCTTGGTGGGCCATAAATACCTCATTTGTGTAGTCTCACTCCGTCATTTGGTGGGAGTTAGAAAGACTGGCTGGAAGGGCCATATTAAGTAATTCACTGCACTGCATAACCTAAATGCCTGTACGAGTAAGGGAATTGGTTTAACAGATTATGATACAATGGATTTATTAATTGCTGTAATGCTTATTGCTATAGCACATAAACCCCAAATCTCAGTGGCTTAATGCAGTAGAAATTTATTTCTCTCCCACATAAAGTCCAAAATAACAAATTAGGGACCCAAGCTCCTTTCGTCTTATGGCTGTACCCTCCTCAACCTGTGAAACCCAACTTCATTGTGTATATTAAGCCAGCAGAATGGGAATGAGCATGAAGGTTTGTACAAGGGAGTTTTTTAGGGACCAGGTCTGGAAGTGGAGATATCATTTTGCTCATATTCTGTTGGCTAAAACTAAGTCACAAAGACAGATATAACTGCAAGGGAAACAGGAAAATATAATCTAGTTGCATGTCCAGGAGGAAGAGGAACAGGTTTGGTGATCAGCTAGCTGTCTATACCATGGTGAAATCAAATGTAGCTGTAGAAAATGATAAGGAAGTTCTATATGTACTAATATTGTTCAGCAAACAAGATACAGTACCACTTTTGTAAAAAGGGGTAAAGTATATACATATTCATGTTTACTTGTATATGCATAAGGAACCTCTGTACGGACATGCAAGAAACAGAGTGGTTACTCATTTGGTGGTCGGGAGTTGGCAACTATGTGGATAGGGAATGGGGTGGTGGGAGACTTCTCTATATACTTTTGATTTTATGATTATATGAATAAATCAGTCTACTTTTAAAAAGCTAAAAAAATATCCCGCTACCACCAATGACCGCCCTGACAGGGAACACAACAGAGTCTCGGACAGAGCGAGAGAACTCAAATTCACGTAAAAAGACCAGACTTAATGGTCTGACAGAGACTGGAGGAACCCCCGAAACTATGGCCCCTGGATGCTCTGTAAACCAAGAACTGAAATCATTCCCAAAGCCCACTCTTCAGACAAAGATTAGACAGGACTATAAAACAAAAAATAATACACCTGAGGAATGTGCTTCTTAGTTCAGTCAGATACACGAGACCAAATGGGTGGCTCCTGTCCAGAGAGAAGGCAGGAAGGGACAAGAACTGGTCTAATGAACACAGGGAACCTGGGATGGAAAGGCAGAGTATGCTGTCACATTGTAGGGATTGCAACTAATGTCACAAAACAATATGTGTATAAATTTTTGTATGAGAAATTAACTTGACTGTAAACTTTCACCTAAATCACTATAAGAAAATTTTAAAAAATAAGATAAAAACACTGATCCATCGAAGTTGTTGATCTGAAAATGCGAGCAAAGAGGGAGAATTTAGGTACAAAGTTTTGGGAGAGAAATTGGGGCGAGCAGAGGAAAGCAAGGGGTCAGAGCAGAGGCTGGGCAGCAAAGCCTAGAGAGATTTCCTGAGCCCCTTAGAGGCAGCTGCGGTGGCTTTTTATATAACCGTGCCCTGAAGGCTTCTGGGGACAACCAGAAATAGATGCTTGCAGAGCATGTTAGAGGCAGCAGACTTGGTCTCACCACCACCCCCCGCAACCCACTCATCTAGGCTTTGGATAAAAATCAGGACAGATACCCAGAGGAAGTAGAACCTGAGTTGGTTTTTGTACAGTCAGCCCTTGCTCCAGAGCAAGGTGGACTAGGCAGCAGGAGCTCTCCCCGTCCATCCTCAACTCAGCCCATGTGTCCTCCGTGCCTCCGTTATGGACCAGTTCATAAGGCAGGGATTCTAGAGGAGGGGAGATCTCTCATTCTTAGTACGCATTCACATTGGTGAGGTGGTGTGGATTTTACATCGTCTCTCTCCATTTATTTATAGATATTTGAATGTCTACCTTAGTCCAGGCATTGTTAGGTGGTAAAGATTATAAAAATACAGATGAAAAACACGATTCTCAGACTTCTGCCTTCTGTATTAGTTTTCTAGGGCTGCTTTAACAAATTACCACAAACTTGGTGGCTTATAACAACAGAAATTCATTCTCTCACTGTTCTGGAGGCCAAAGCAAGGTGTCAGCAGGGTCATACTTTCTCCAGAGACACTAGGGGAGAATCCTTCCTTGCCACTTCAGCTTCTGGTGGCTCATGGTGTTCCTTGGCTTAAGGCAGCTTAGCTTCCGTTTCTGCCTCTGTCCTCATGTGGCCTTCTTTCCTCTGCTTCTGGCCAAATCTCCCCCTCATTTCTCATATCGGTCATTGGATTTAGAGTCTACCCTGAACCCAGAATGATTTCCTCTTGAGATCCCTTAACTAATTATATTTACAAAGACCCTATTTCCAAATGAGTTCACATTCTGAGGTCCTGGGTGGACATGAATTTAGGAGAGGGGACACTGTTCAACCCACTACAGATGATAAGGTTACAGAACTGAAGACGGAAAACGTGGTTCTCAGGATCCCTGCCTAGAGAAGGCTGTTCAGTCTGTGGATTGCCTGGCTGGCAGCTTTTCAGTAGGCAAGAGGTTCTCAATGGTGTGGTTTTGGTGGGCTCACCCACTGTATTGTGTCTTCTGCCTCATTGCCTCGCTAGTTCTTCCTCTTGCCCCTGAGGAATTGGTAGAGAAGGAGCCCTGCATTTCTGACTTGGCTAAGTTCTTCGCTTTCCTCAGGGCAGCATTGACATGAGTCGTGTGGCTGTGATGGGACATTCATTTGGAGGGACCACAGCTATTCTGACTTTGGCCAAGGAAACCCAGTTTCGGTGAGTTTTCTAGTGATGCTGCTATTAGCTCCACACAGTATTCATTCGTTCATCAGGTATTTTTACACAAGCACTAAGCCCACTGTTTTGGGGGCTGGGGATTCAGTGGTGAACAAGAAAACAAGGTCTTTGATTTCATGGAATTATGTTATTGTGGGAGGAGATAGACTAGTAAATAAGTTGACCAAAAATAAAATCCCCAGCAGCCAAGTGCAATGAGAAGACTAAAACAGGCTGATGTGCTAGAGTGTCCAGAGACTTCGCTGAGAATGTGACACAGGCCAAGACCCAAAAGACAAAGAAGCCAGCCATACGAAGGCCCAGGGGAAGTCCTTCCAGCCAGAGGGAACAGCTAAAGCAAAGGCCAAGGTGGAAACAAGCTTGCTGTGTTAGTGCTGGGGGAGCACAGTGCATCGGGGGAAGAACTCACCATGAGACCAGAGAGATCAGCAGTTAGATTTTATTCTAAGTATGATAGGAAACCATTGAAGGATTTTAAGCAGAGAAAAATAAATATAAAATAAAAATAAATCTTATATACATTCTATAAAAATCTTACATACATTTTAAAAGATCTCTCTGGCTACTACATGAAGACTGGATTGTAGCAGGACAGGAATGAAACAGGGAGGCAAGTTAGAGGGAGGCTATTTCAGAATCCAGGTGAGAGATGACAGATCTGTATTAGGATGGAGGGAGTGGGGTGGGGAGAGTGAGTGGCATCAAGGTATATTTTAGAGTCTGCAGGACTTAGTGATGTATGAGGTAAAGGAAGAAAGGAATCAGCGTTTTTCATTTTCATGTCTACCATTTGGTGGATGATAATAATGTTCCTTATTGAGATAGAGAAGACTGGAGGAGCATTTTGGGAGGAGGCGGACGAGTCTTTGGGTCTTAGTCTTGCCCTTGGTTACAGAGGTTGCTGTTTGACAGGCTGGCCAGGTCTCTTGAGTTGTGGCACAAACTTTCCCTAACCTTCCCTGCTGTGTACGCTATGGGCTCCCATGGCACCTTGTATGATCAGGGCGCTTAGTGCATTGTCTGTTCTGTTTCCTCTGCTAGACAGAGAGTTCCTTGAGAGCAAGAACTACGTTATTCATTTCCATATCCGCAGCACAGGGCTACCAATATAGTAGGTACTCAATGAATGTTGAATGAATGAATGATTAAATGAACGAAGTGTCATTGTGTAACTTGAGTCAGTCACCTGAGAGTAGATCCAGGAGATGGAGAAGACCTGATCCTTGTGGTCAGAGAGTAAAATTTAGAAGGATCCTTGGCAACAGGTGGAGCCCTGGTGGTGCAGTGGTTCAGAGCTACATCTGCTAACCAAAAGGTCAGCAGTTAGAATTCATCAGCTGCTCTTTGGAAACCTTATGGGGTAGTTCTACTCTGTCCTATAAGGTCACTGTGAGTCAGAATTGACTGGACGGCAACAGGTTTGGTTGGTTTTTTTGGCAACAGGTAAAAGTGATCCCTATCTCGGAGCCTGACTGAAGGATGTGGCTCCTGGCACCCGCTTCCTGGCTTTCTGAGCCTTCGGTCCGCTGAAGGGAAGAATTCCCCCCTTCCCCCACCACCCTCACTGTTCTTGCTTGGGTTTCTGCCTAGCATTTTCAAATGTTTGGTTCTGCTCCAGGTGTGCTGTGGCTCTGGATGCTTGGATGTTTCCACTGGAACGTGGCTTTTACCCCAAGGCCCGAGGCCCGGTATTCTTCATCAATGCTGAAAAATTCCAGACAGTGGAGAGTATCAATTTGATGAAGAAGATATGTACCCAGCATGAACAATCTAAGATCATAACTGTCCTGTAAGTAAACCCTAACTACCAAGGTCATGATCACAGTGTTCTCTCTTTTCCCTTCAGCTCTGACTCCCTTAAATTCTTCTGGATTATCCAGAAGTTTCTACCCATTAATAGAATACCTGAATACTTCCTGAATTTCAAAATCTTAATTCCTTCACAATTTTATATCTGTCCCCCTTCTGTATTTAGTTCCACTTATAGTGATTTCTTCAGTAGTTAACTTGACTTTTGTGACGGGATTTGCCTGCTGATTACTGGGAAGAGGGTATTGTGGGATTAGGCGTTGGAGAAGAAAGGGTGTGGGCTCCAGAGATCTTTAGCCTCAGCTGGGAATTTTATTTGTTCTTTTGAAGAGTATGGGTGTGGTAGACCTTTGACATTCACAAGATAGATTTTTAAAGGCTTTCATGAATATCTAATTCACATGTATCACTCTAGCATATGTTTTCTTCCATAAAACATCTGTATTCTCAGTAAGAGAGACCACATTCTCTTCACTTCCATCACCACTGCTGTCAGTTGGCTTTATTTTGGGAGCCATTTCTCACAGAGAAAGATTTTGTTCTAAGTCATTTTAAGAAATTTACCTGGGAAGTGGCATTGAACTTCAGGTGCAGGGCTGAAATCTCATTGACTGGCTCCCTGACTTGAGCATCCAGTGCCTAGTTTCAGAAATGATACATTGCCAAAAGTTAAGTCTCCTCAGGTGCTCTTCCCAACTGCTCTCGCCGGCACTTGAGCCTTGAAGCACACATGCTATAGGAATCCCAGTTCCGTTGTCAACAAAACAAGGGACTGCATGCCATGGTCCTTTGGAATCACTCGGGTAGTTGAAATGCCAAACTGAACGGCCTTGAATGCTGGGGGTCTGCTCAGTAGTTAGCAACGTCTTCCCTTGCCCATCTTGGCCCAGGCTGTCTTCCTTGGGGCCAGCCCCTTACCTACCTTTCATTTTTATTTCATGGCACTCAGAGGACCACTTAAAAGTTTCCCAAGTCAGTCAGATTCAGGATAATTTGACCTCTGGAGGGAAGGGAGGTGAGAGCAGTGGAGAAGGGGTATGCGAGGGGGATTTAACTATTGGTAATGTATTATTTCTTAAATTAGGTGCTGGATACCAAATACCCATTGTATTATTCTGTACACTTTTTTGTGTGTCTTAAATCATGCATTTTTTTTTAAGTCAGTTTTTCTGCATGACATCAAACAAATAGTTTTACTTTAGATTTCCCCTCCCCATTGCATTGACTAGTAAGTCTAGTTAGGAGTAATTTAGCCAAATGAATTTAGTCAGGATTTCACCTGAAAATTCAATATGTTTGATGTCAAAGGACTTAAGTTTTAATCCAGAAACCTCCTTTAATGTGCAGTTGCCCTCACTTTTCTGATTATTTAAATAAAGGCAAGTAATTGATTTTCCCTGTTGATGATGCAGCTCTGAAGAAGTAGAAGTTAACATGTTTTGTGAATGTTCAGAAGTCACCAGGTGGAAACCATGGTCTTTTAGGCTATAACAATGTAGGAAAGGCAGGTGCTGCGGACCTCCTCTCCTTGTCCCTATCCCTGTCCAGCTGACTCAGCCTCTTCTCTGCACTGTCAGGCAGATAAGCCAGCTTCGAAGGTCAGGCACATCTGGGTTCAAATCGTAGCTCCATTCCTTACTAGCTGTTTGACCTTGGGTAGATCATTTCACTTCTCTGAACTTCAGATTTCTCTCCGTCAAAGGGGAAAATACTTCCCTTATATAGTTGTGAAAATTAAGTGAAGGTGCTTAACAAATATGCGTGCGCCCCAGCCCCTGAACCCCTACCAGTTACGTGTTTTTCTTCTGTTCTAGTGGTTCTGTTCATCGGAGTCAAACTGACTTTGCCTTTATGACTGGCAGTTTGATTAGTAAATTCTTCTCCTCTCAAACCCGTGGGAGCTTGGACCCCTATGAAGGTCAGCAGATCGTGGTGCAGGCCATGCTGGCCTTCCTGCAGAAGCACCTTGGTAAGGAGAGAACTGGGGTCATGAGGGTGGCCGTCGGGTCCCTTAGATTTTCCTGTAGCACAGTAATCTATGCTGACATGTCAGGGATCAGGGAGACTTATGGCAAAAGGAGAACCTGAGTGAAGGAGAGTTACACAGAATTATAGAAAAAATACTTACGTGGAAGTTTGGAGATCCTGACTCTGCCTCTTACTAGCTGCATGACCTTGGGCTAGTCATTTAACCTCCTCAAGCCCCAGTTCCATCGCTGTCAATGGAACATTCACTTCTCTCCACTACATCTGTCCAAATCCAAGCTCATCATCTCTTGCCCTGTCTGCATTGTGGGGGCAGTTATGATGATAAATGGGAGTGCTTTAAAAAAAGCATAGAAGGATTATGGCTGATGTTATAACTCAGACCAACTGAACTGTAAGGCCTTAGAGGTCATTTGGTCCACCTGTCCACTCAGAAGAGGTATCCCCTCAGATCTTCTCTGCCACGTGATCAGGCGGCATGGCTTTTAGCATGGGAGAGCAGTGGTACTCAAGTAAGCTCTCTTCACCACTGAAAACTTTAATTTTTGTTTGTTTTTTAGTATTTTTATTATATTTTCGGTGAAAGTATACATAGCAAAACAGGTTCCCATTCAACAATTTCTGTATGTATTGTTCAGTGATATTGGTTACAGTCTTCATGTTGTATCAACATTCTCATTATTTCCAGTTCTAGATGTTCTATTCCCATTGACCTAGTCTCACAGCCCTCCAACCTTCTCATCTATGCTTTAGAGTATTTGTTGACCATTTGGTCTTATATAGATGATTTTTTTTAAAGAGCTCAGTACTCAAGGGTGATATTCATTACTTTATTTTTTTTTTTTTAATTTTATTGTGTTGTTGAGAATATGCACAGCAAAACATAAACCAGTTCAGCTGTTTCTACATGTACAGTTCAGTGACATTAATTACATCCTTCAAGTTATGCAGCCATTCTTACCCTCCTTTTTGAGTTGTTCCTCCCCCATTAACATAAACTCACTGCCCCCTAAAATTCCCATCTAATCTTTCAAGTTGCTGTTGTCACTGATCCCATATGGATAGTTCTTAAAAGAATATAATGCTCAAGGCAGACATTTTTTACTAGTTACTATTGTTTGGTTTTAAAAAGACTTCAGGGGATATTTTTGGTTTAAGATTTAAGTTTATCTCAGGGCAGTAGTTTCAGGGATATTCATTACTTTATGAGCTAACCTACTATTTAACTAAAATATGACTTGAGGGGAGAGTTTTCAGTTCAAGGCTTAAAGAATATCTCAGAGTAGTAGTCTCCAGGATTCCTCCTATCTCAGTGGGTCCATTAAGTCTGGATATTTTTAAAGATTTGAAGTTCTGTTCCACTTTTTTCTCACTTTCTGTCAGGACCTATCTATTGTGGTCCTGATCAGAATGTTCAGTAGTGGTAGCTGGGCACCATCTAGTTCTTCTGGTCTCAGGATAGAGGTGGCCATGGTTCATGTAGACCATTAGTCCTGTAGACTGGTTCCTTCTCTGAGTCTGGGGTTTCTTTCTTTCTCTTTTGCTCCAGACAAGTAGAGACCAATAGTTGTATCTTAGATGGCTGCTTGACTTTTATAGTTTTAGGAGTTGATATTCTAGTTAAGTTTTTTGGTTACAAGGACTAGCGATTCACTAATTTACCTCAAGAAAAAAGGGGAGTTTTTTTATGAGAGTGTGCTTGGACTAAGTGGGAAGTAAAAAATTGCAGGAACCAAGGTAGCTTGCAGGACTGACGTCTCTCTCTCTCTGTTGCTGTCATGGGCTCAGCCTTTCTATCTCTTCCTCTCGTGACATCTGTTTCTCTTTTCTCCAATCTGTGATTTTCTTTCTTTCTGCTTTGTATTTTATCTGTCACTAATAGTGTCTGCTCATTCATAGTTTTCTGCTTCCTCATAATTTTAGTTGGCTTGAACCACTCAGGGCTTGTTTTCTCTACCTTGTGGCAACCTTTCTTCTTCAACTCCCACTGCTCACTACCGTATTCTCTTGGCTTTCTTAGACCAGATACCCAAGAGAGACAGTCTGGTTATACCAGCCCATCTTTACCTGCCAAGATACATTGCAGGTCACTGTCTGCCCTATGCCTGGAGCTCTCTTGATGAGATGTCCCTTTCTGATCAAAGTGGAGTGGGATGCCATTATCTACATGAGGCTGTTTCCTCAGCAGGTGCTGTGTGTAGGACAGTTTTCTGGGAGTCAGGGCTTGTCTGGATTGCTAAACTATGACTGATTTCTAACCTAAGGCCAAGATCTGATACTTTGTAACTCCTCTTACTTGCCCTGGTTATCCCCTCAAGGGCCCTCCATGGAAGCCTCACACTGCTTGCACATGGCAGCTCTTCAGCTATGCTGTCCTCCCTGAGATTTTTGTTCACTAAGCTAAATGATCATGGTGCCGCCACCTTTTTCCCATGCAGTGCTGTTGCCATTTATTATCCCCTTCCATTGGATGCACTGTTTGTCATGTGTCTTTTAAAGTGTGGTGTCCTGACCTGCACGTGACGTGCTAGATGTGGTCTGACCAGTGCCTGGTACAGCAGGACTGTTGCCTCTGTGCTCTGGACACCTGACTTCTAGTCGTATGGCCTGAGTGCATTAACATTTCCAACAACTGCATAACAGATTTGGTTTAGATTGAGTTTGTTTTTAAAACATATCTGGCCAAATATAATTGTGTTGACTTTTTTAACCTAAATTTGCATTTTTACATTTATGCCTGTTTATTTTACCTTGCTCATTGGGAGTCATTATTTCAGCCTGGGTTTAGAGACTTCAGGGTTAATAGAGACCTTCGAGCATCCTTCTTATCACCAAACAGGAGAGAAATAGATTCATGTCTCAAGACTTTGGTGGGGCCTGACCATGGTCATCAGCCCACTTTCCCCGTTTCCTCTTATGCATTAGGTCAGAGCTAAAGATTAAAGATGAGGGGGAGCCCACCATAGCATACTTGGGCTCCCTTTAGTAGCACTGCCTGTGAGCTAAGATGCTTATTGCTAGAGACCAGCAGAAGAGGAGACGGAAGGGAAGAGAGGCTCAGACGGTAGGAGGATTGTTAGGATTTACTTTATGCCAGTTCCTCTGCTACATACTTCACATGCACTGTCGCGTGTAATCCCAAAGACAGCTCTGTCCGGTGGTGCTTCGATCATTAACTCCATTTTATAGATGAGGGTAATGAAGCTTAATTTAAGTAATTTGTCCAAGGTTATTTGGTTGTTTAGTGGCAAAGTCAGTATGCAGCCCAGGCTCTGTAATTCCAAAGTCCATGTGCTTAATTGCTACATTATACTGTCAGTGACTATGATGACTGTGACAAGTTCCATGACCTAGTTATGCACTTAGTCTTAGGAAGACACGGAGGACAGGCACCTAACTGTGATGGGAGGAGAAGGACAGCCAAGGAAGGAGGTTTTCTAGACAAAGTGAAGCTTGCCTTTAATCTTAATGGACGAGTAGAGTTCACCAGGTAGAGAAGGGGCAGGGATCTTTCAGACAGAAGACACAAATGCTTGAGTGAGCCTGATGCATTTGGGAAAGTGTGGTATATATGGAGCCCAGGATAGTGAATTGTTGGAAAGTAAAGCTAGAGAATTGAGCAGAAGCCAGATTTAGAAGCCCATGTGTTTGCTGGAGTAAATTTGAATTTTATTCAAAGGCTGTGAGGAGCCCTTGGTGGGTTCTAAGCAACGAACTGTTATGATTAGATTCATGGTTGCATCTGGTTGCATTGTGGAGGATGTGCAAGATGGGGCAAGTTGAGGGGCAGAGAGCCCAGGTAGGAGGCTCCTGCAGTAGTCCAGGTGATAAGTGATGAGGCAGAGTCCGAAAAAAGACAGAGGCTCTCAGCTTGGGCTGATTAGCTTTACAAAGAGAAAAGCTTTTTGGTGGCCACAATATACTGTCACATGGGAAACTAAAATAGGTTGTAGGTTGCTCAGCCCAACCTCTCTCCACTTTCTGAAAAATACCTCTCAGAGCATGTGTTCCGCTGACACTGGTTAAGAAATGTTACCTTCTATTTATGAAGGTTGGTGCTTCCTTCACATGAACTACATGCAGCTCCTGTCTACACCCATTCATCCTCTCTCCCACTCTCCTGGAAGACTATTTCACACCTTCTCCTCTCTCCTCAAACCTTCCACACCTCCTACCCTAGCCTGTCTCTCAGCTGATTAACTTTGCCTCCTACTTCACTGAGAAAGTGAAAGCAATCAGTACTTCCTCAAACTTCCAACACCACAGCTGCCCACCTGCCTGCATACGCTCTGTTCTCCCCCGGTTACTAGCATTTCCTACTTTGTTTCCCAAGTCCAGCGTCTCCACTTGCATACTAGGTCCCATCCTCTTTTGTCTGCTCAAGACGGTTGCACTAGCAATTTTTTCCTCTTTTATATCATCAATTTTTCCCTCTTTACAGGTCCATTTCCAAAAGCATACAAACATGCTGAAATTTCCCTTTATCTTAAAAAAAAATCTCTCTTGACCCCACTTTCCCCTCCAGTTGCCACACTGTTTGCCTGTTCCCCATAGCAGTAAAACTCTTCAAAAGAATGTCTAGCTTCACTTTTTTTAATTCGTGTCTTCCCATTTTCTCTGAAACCCACTCCAGTCTGACTGTTGCATCCCAGTACTCCATCAAAGCTGCTTGTGTTAGGACAACTAATGACCTTTGTGATATTAATCCAATAGTCAGTTCTCACTCTTCATTCTACTGGAGCTCCCAGCAGCTTTAGACACAGGTGGTGACACCTTTCTCTGTGAAACACTGTTGTCACTTGGCTTCCAAGTAAAAACTGCATTTTCTCCTATCTTAATGTCTGCTCTTAGTCAGCTTAGCTGCCTCCGGGGCTCAGTCCTTGAACAACTTCTGTGTCTATATTCTCATCTTGTCTCATGGCTTTAAATGCCATCTCTATGCTGACAACTCCCTAATTTATATCTCCACTTTGATCTTGCCTATGAACATTGGATTTATGTAACCCACTACTAGCTACTCAACATCTCTACTTGAATGTCTAATAGACATTACGAACAAAAACTTGTTTTACCTGCAGGCTTTCTCTTTTCAGTTAGTAGTAAATTCATCCTTCTCGTTACTCAGGCCAAGGTCCTCCCCTTGTCTCTTCACTCTCACCTCCCATCCAGTCCGTTAGAAAATCCTGTTTGTTCTATCTTCAAAATAATGTATGGAATCTAGTCACTTCCCATTACCGACACAGCTACCGTCATGCCCAAGCCATTGTCATCTTTCACCTCAACTACTGCAGTAGTTTCCAAACTGGTCTCCCTAACCGCCATCCTTGGCACCCTACACAGTCTTTTCTTAATAGAGCAGCCAGAGCGATTCTTTTAGAATGTAAGTCAGATCTTGTCACTCTTCCATTCAGAATCCTCCTAGGGCTTCCCGTTTCTCAGAGAGTCAAAGTCAGTGTTCCTTGTCCTGCCGAGCCTGTGTGATACACCCTCCAGCACTCCCTGACCTCCTCGCCTGCTGCCCTTCCTCTGGCCTGCTTTGCTCTCCCTGCACGAGCCCTAACACTCCAGGCGTGCTCCTTCAGGGCCTGTTCACTGGGGTCCCCTCTGCCTGGAACACTCCTCCCAGATAGTCTCGTGGCTCACTCCCACCTCCGTCAAGTCTTTGCTCAAATCTCACCTTCTTAGTGAGGCCAACCCTAATCACCCTTTTACAAATATTGCGCCTTCCCTTGCCTTCACCCCTCAGCCACCACTGCTGCTTTCCTTATCTGGCTGTTTTTTTTTTCATAGCACTTACTGCCTTTTTGGAGCCCTGGTGGCTTAGTGGTTAAGAGCTCGGCTGCTAACCAAGAGGTTGGCAGTTGAAATCCACCAGCCACTCCTTGGAAACTCTATGGAGCAGTTCTCTGTCCTAAAGGGTCGCTATGAGTTGGAACTGACTCGACGGCACCTAACAACAACAACAACAACAACTGCCTTTTCATTACTACATAATTTATTATGTTTATTGTTCATCCTGCCTGCTAGATTGTGAGCTCTATGAGGGTAGGGGTTCTGTCTCTTTTATTCAGAGATGTATTTTGGCACCTAGAATAGAACATGGCACATAATGGGTGTGCTCAGTGTTTATCAAGTTAATGAATATGTAGCAGTTATTTGTTGAGGGCCTGTCCCATGCCAGACCCTTGGCAGGCCACTGGGCATCCAAAGATGAATGAGAAGGACACCATTTGCCCACTCAGCTTGTGCTCTACTCCCTCAGCCTGAGGCCTTGGACCCTTTCTGACTGTCCTTGCTGTGTAGTTAGACCCATCTGCTCATGGTCCCAGGGCTCTCTCTTTAATCATGCTTGGTCTTAAGCTGCTTCATGATGTTTCCACCCTGTTGCTTCTGCCCTTCATTGAGGTAGTACTGGTTTTGCATCCACTGGGCCTGGGGTGTGAGGGACCTCTCCTTGCTTCACAGCATCCCTTAGCCTGGAAGTAGGCTTTCCGTCTTCTGACCCTTTCTGACCTGGCTTGAATTCTCTGTCTACCACTTAGCAACTGTAGTGGCCTTGGGCAAGTCAGGTAGCCTCTCCGAGCCTCAGTTTTCTCAACTATAAAATTGAGTTAATAATAGTACCTAGTTCATAGGGATGTTGTGAAAATTAAAGGAAACAGTGCATGTGGAGCATTTAGCACAGTCCCTAACATGAATTATTTCTCAATGAGTGTTACCCTTTATTATTAGTATCATTATCGAATCGTTGTGGATTAAGCAAGGTCACTTGTAAGGCACGTTTATAAAGGCACTGAATAAATAGTAGCTACCATTACTGCTGCCACCATCGTGACCACCATAATCAGGCCCTTTAGTATCCCAGTGCACCTTCTCTCTAGGTTGACCCGCTAACTATGGTGGCTATTCTTTGATCTAACCTTATAATGATTTGCCTAACCTTCCTATTTTTTTCCCATTTAGACTTGAAGGAGGACTATGATCAGTGGAACAACCTCATTGAAGGCATTGGACCATCACTCACCCCTGGGGCCCCACACCATCTGTCCAGCCTGTAGACACAAGTAGCCATTTTCAAAAGTTCACTTGAGCTGAGTTTCCATTTGAGGGCTGCCCAGGAGCACCCATAATCTTCCACCAGGAAATGGTTAACATGACCCTTCACAGAGAGAGTGCTGATTGGGTAACTGGGGGCTTTAATCTTGGACTTGCTGGTCTTCCACTCATGCTAGGGCTTGAATCACTTGCTGATTGGCAGACTGACTTTCTGGGGCCTGAGCCCTGATGGTATGGGGAACAAGCAGCGGGGCAGGACTCAAATTGAACACTATTTCATGGCCAGAGTGTACAGACTTAGCCAGGGAACCTACTGCCTCACCTTGGGCTAGTGTGACTTCTGCAGTTGAAAAGAAGCCAAAGGATGGACCGGAAATCCTCTCCTTCAGGACCTCTCGCCCAACCTGGCACTATCTCTTCTTACCTCTCAGCCTTCTCTTACCCAGGGCCACTTGGTGAGTTCTGAACACTTTAGGCAAATTTCTAGAATATGAACCATCTTCAAATATTCTGTTTATTTTCGAGCTTTCCCATTACATGAAACTGGGCACTTAGTACTAAGTTATACTTGTGAGCCATGAGGTGTGGATAGCACTGTCCTGATAACACAGGAAGAGAAGCTGAGGTACAGAGGGGTACCTCAGAAGCTCTGGATGTCTTTGGGGTTTTGCTAAAAATATATTTTAACAGGAAATTAACACAAGTAGGTTGAGATAGGGAAGATAGAATAACAGTGTTAAGCAGCCGTTTGCACAGGCCCTTGCCACAAGAGCAAGGAATTTTGTCAGCTAGAAGTCAGGAGGCCATCCCTGGCAGGGTCTAAGAACAACTTGCTCTTGCTTCTTACCTCAGATATTGTGAGCCTCCAACTTGCTCAGAATCAGGGTCCTTTGGTTGTCTGTTTTCTAGCTCTGAGGCTCCAGCCCCAAATTTAAGTCAGGATATAGGGTGCATTTCCATTCTGTTCCTTTTTTGGTATTTTATAATATGAATGATATTAATACTCATGTTTGCCTAAGGATATGTTGGACTATTCTTTTTATTTAATCTGCACTAGAGCAAGATGGGGAGCCATCTGGAAATGGCTTTACCGTCTGTCTTTCTTTGTTCACTTACCACTTGGGCTCCTGTGGAAAAAAAAAATTTAAAAGGAAAGGAAGTTTTCCTAGGGATCTAGTTCAAAGCTATTTGGGAACATCAACCTGAAACACCCCTCTCCGCTACTCTAAACTTCTTACCTCAGTGCAAGTGGGGGGCCTCAGAGGAAGCAAGAGCAAAGGGCGAATATGTCTCTACAGTAAGCCCAAGGTGAGTGCTACCAAAGTAAGTTGGGACTAGGTCTCCCAGCTCTCAACAGCTGTTCTTTCTAAGAGACGAAACAGCAGATCCATTGAGACTGTAACCCTTGGAAGGATGTGTAGATTCTAGTGCGATATAGCAGAAGGAGGGTATCATTAAAGCCCTGGGCTCTAGAGTTATATAGCCTCGCTCTGAGTTCTGGCTCCCCAACTCCTAACTGGGTAAATCTGAGGAAATTGTATGCTCTTTATAATCTCTAAAGTGAGATCTGCATTATGAATAGTTAGGAGGGTTAAGTGAGAGGGCGTATAACCCATGGATTAATTAAAAGTATCTTTCTTACTTGCCAAACGTAAGATTTGTCTATTTATTTACAGTTACTGTTTTCTAGTTTAATTGCTTTGTGGTCTGAGAAGATGACCCATGTAGTCTCCACCCGCCAAGATTTGTGGAAACTTGTTTGTTGGCCCAGTGTGAGGTCAGTTTTGTAAATGACCCATGTATGCTTAAAAAGACTGCATATTTTGAAGTTGTTGGCTTGCTGTTTTACTCCACAACACACCATGGATTTCCTATTATGAGAGCACACACAGATATATAACGGGGCCTTCCAACTCCCAAATGGGAACCAGAGCCCCTCAGCACTCGCAGAAGCAGCCCCAGGCCAAGCCTGAGTAGATGCCATACCTTGTGCATGGAGCCGACTCCGCAAGTGCTGAGGGGCTAGTTCTAGCAATAGTAGCACGAGACCTAGCTTCTACCATAGACTCAACTAATGCAGATACATGTAAAGCCCTGAGCAGGAGACCTGGAACTTCCCCAGAGAAAGACATTCACAAACTGAATTCATTTCCTCCGTTCAGCTTCTGTTCTGGTAATGACTTGTTTATCTGGCAACATTGGAGTAGGTGGATTTTCCATGTAACTGAAAATTATCCTTTAAGTCCCAAAATGTAATACTGACTATATTGAATGGTAGTCTACAAAATAATAATAATAACGCACATACCACCAAATCAAAGTGAACAACTTCCTAATCAAAGTGAACTTTTTAGGATGTTTCCATCAGGATAGCTAGACAGTAAAACTCGTTTCTTGCCCATGCTATTTGTCCACTCTGGGTTGGCTGGAGGTTCTGCTCTGCATCATTATCCTCCTCACTCGTCCTTCCCACTTCCTGGATTTGTTGGGCTCAGGCTGGTTGAGTTCTTACTGTGCCCCCCACACAGACCCCAGCCCCTTTCCAGTGTGTGTCCTCACACAGCCGCCCCTCTTGCCCCTTCCCCATGAAGACTCTGGGCTCTTGAAATGTCAAATGACAGACTCCAACTCCTTGTCTTGGCCTTATGGAAACCTTAATCTGGCCCTCTTTTTCTTCTCCCGGAGCACCACTTACCCCTATGGCTGCAAAGGGACAGGGGAGGCCACATCTATACTCAAGATCCAGCCCCATTAGAACTCACTTTCTGCCCCATCACAACCTGATGCAGAGGCTGAGTGTCCCTGGCCATAGTTGTATTCCAAAATGCCAATGACAATAATAAAATAATAATAGCCAACATTGATTGGGCCGTTACTGTTGTCAAGGACTGTGCTAAGCCCTTTACATGCATTACCTCATTTACTTCTCACAGTAACCCCATGAGGTCGGGTGGTATTAGCCTCATTTATGTAAGGAAATAGGCTTTGAGAAGTGCCTTGATCAAGCTCTCACAGCAGGAATGTGGCAAAGCTGGGACATAGGCATCAAAATCCAAGTTCGGAATCACTGGGCCTAGCTGCCTAGCATACACTTTTGGTTTTGCACTTTCCCCTGTCTCTTCAAACAGGCAGGATATAGAAAATGTAATTTAACAATAGATTGAATCCAGGATGTCAGATTTTCCAGCAGTTTCTATATGACCTATATTGAAATTCAGTGGTATCCCCAGCACTATTAAGAATGGGTTGGGAGAGAGAACTGAGCTTCATTGGGAACTGTGGGCCAGGTGATCTGTTGATTTGGTAGGTGGGGAAAGTGCAGGGATTAAGAACATGGTCTTTAGAATCAGACAGCTCCAACACTTTTAGCCCTTTGACCTTAGGTTAATTTATTAACTTCTCTGAGCTTCAATTTTCTTGTCTGTAAAATGGAATTCTAATAGTATTTACCTCATAGGGTTGTGATAAATGAAATAACGCAGGTAAAAACACTTATCACAGTGCCTGGACATAAGAGCTTAATTAAGGTTAGCTATTACTAGTATGGTTTCATTTGGTCCTCCTTTTATACACCTATGAAGTTAGGTATAATTTACCCTTGCAGTTAATGGCCCCGGATGGTCTTGGTCTAAGTTCTGACTCTAGCTTCGAACAGTTCCACACAGTTACCACCCTCAGGTGAAGCCTGCTAGCTGCCACCCAACTACTGCCATTGTGTTCTCATGTCAGGGTGAAGCTAGATGAAGAAAGACAGTTTCCCATTCTCTTTGCTCTCATTTCCCTACTCCTCACATCAAAGATGGAAATCCACACCCTCGTTCTCGATTTTCAAACTCTTTACCACCAGGAATAAGTCACACTCTTATGCTTCGGTTTGGGTTTTAATTTCACCCCTGATCATCCACACACACATGACTGTGCACCAGATGCAAACCTAAGATGGTCCTAAGCTCCTAAGATGTGGAATGGGAGAAGGGATGAGAAGGTCCATGTAGGGGTTATCTAAAGGGGAGGGGGCTGGGTATAGGGAGTTTGTAGTAGAGGCTAATTGCATTACTTTTTGTCTGCCGCCTTTGAGGCCAGGTGAGGGAGGTTGAAGGGGCCTTGTGACCTCAACAGTAACTGCCCAGTTAGGGAGACAATGGCCTGTGAATTACCTCCTGCCCAGCTCTCTCCATCACTGCCACATCCAGTTTCATACCGAGTCCTCTTGTTTCTTCTCTCTCGGTGGTTCTCATACCCAGCCTGTCCTTTCCATTTCACTTGAGTCTTGTCCCCCTATCCGCTCACTCCTGGGTTAATTTTCACAGTCTCCTGGACTCTAAATCTCTCTTGTCTTTTTTCTCCCTGCTGCCAGATCTACTGAAAACCACGTTTGTATCAATATACCAGCCTGTCAAGGTGGTCTAACATAAAGAGGACCAAACTCGTGATCGAGAGTTCTGGGTTCTTTTTTCAGCTGTCACTCTTTTCTCACTTTGTCACCTTGTGTGCAGGCTTCTCCTCTCTAGACCTCAGTTTCTCTGTCTGTAAATTGGGGATCTGGAGGGGTAGTTGTTGAATTGACTGATCTCTAAGACCCCACCCATTCTGGTGTTTCGTGTCTCTGTCATTGAATTGTCAAGAATCCGCATGGCTCCTCTTTCCCGTAGAACTGCATCTCGCCTCATTCTGTCTGGTGTCGCCCTTCCTCTCCTGCTTCTTGCTTCTTACCATGTGCTCTTCATTTTCCACAGTCCCCTTGATATACCTCACTCATCTTATTTATGCTTTTTCTCCCAGTGTTTTTCTTGCTTGCGGAACCTTCTCACCTCCTTTCTGTAAACCCAAATACTGCTGATCCGTTAGGCCCATTTCTAGTCCCAGCTCTTCTGTGAAAGCCTTCTTGATTAAATTCAACTAACATTTGATCTCTTGGCCTCCTGCTCTCCAAGAGAAATACAGTCTGTGCCTTATTTAGTATTGCACTTTATTACATTATTCCAGGAGCAGGAACCATCTGTTGGATGGGAAAAATCATCCTCCTGTTGATTGACATGGGGAGCAGGGATCCCGGCCCCACCCCATCAGCAGGCTTCTTGTTCCCCAGCCAGCCTTGGTAACAGCTGGTGTTCACCCAGCCCTCTGATGTCTCCAGCTGCCCCTGCTTCCTTTTCTTTTGGTTTCCCCAGATCCCAGCTGTGGGGCCCAGGGCAGAGCCAGCAAGAGTGCAGCCAAGGGCAGCTGGAGCAAACTTCTAAGATACATGGACATGTCGCATTTGGGAGTTAGAAGGAGGGCAGAGCTGAGCACAAATCACACAAATGTTGAAAATGAGGGAGAGAAGCAGTTTGCCACCTCACTTTTCCCATCTTGCTTTCATCTAAAAAAAGAAGCTGCTCAGAAATACAGTCCTCCTCAGCCTGCTAAGCCAGATGGTCCCTAGAAGCTCAGCTTGCCAACTGTGTATATATAATTATTCAGCTCCATGGAATCACACCCAGGTTTGAGTCTAGACACTGATAACTTTTTTGCCGTTTGACCTGGAGCCAGTAAACCCTTCTGAGACTTTGTTTTCTTTTTTGTAAAATGGGGTCACTGATGTCTTCCTTGTCCACCTCAAGATGTTTTTGGGGGGAAAGGGCTCAATGTAGGATGTAAGATTTTGTAACCTACAAAGCACTGGACAAATATGCCTTATTATTAATAAAAGTGCCATATTCTGTTTCTGTACCAGACACTGTGCTAAGTGTTTTACATAGAATGTATCATTTAATCCTAACAACATTCCTGTAAGGTTGTGAGTTTTATGCCCATTCTAGGAAAGTGAGGTTCAGAAAGATTTGCTAAACCAGCTGAAGTCACCCAGCAGGTAAGTGCTGGAGCCAGGATTTGAGCTTAAACTGTTGGGCTCCAACGGCAATGCCCTTAACTCCTGTTCATTACTGTCCCACAAAAAGAAAGAGGTTCTCGACCCTATGTAGGCTAAAATACTCACGATTTGATCTCCTGCTAAATGCACTGATCAGTTGGGTCATACAAAGAGCTGATTTTGTGGAAGACCCAAATGAGTACTGGCAGTAAAGTATACACCTTCAATTACTTTTCTAGCAGTACAGATGGGCACCATCCATCCATCCATCCATACACCTCATATAAAGTTAACAGTTCAGGGAACAAGCCAACTAGTACTATACTGTATAAAACCGTGGAGCCAAGCAGCTGGCAGGAAAATTTTTTTAAATCTCTCACCCACATATTGTATATCAATGATTCTCAGCTCTAGGGGCACATCAGAATCGCTTGGGAACCATATAAAAATATATTTGCCTGGTGATGCCTCCAGAAATACTGATTCAGAAGGTCTAGAGTGGGGCCCAGGTGTGTGTGTGTGTTTTAAGTTCCAGAAATATTCCTGATACATAACCAGGTTTGAGAATCCTTATTATGGTTTAAGCCTATTTTCTTCTCTTTTATGGAATACGAATAACAAGCTGAAAACATAGAATCATTGAATTTTAGAATTGGAAGAACCCGTAAGTCCTTTGGTCCATGAGGAAACCAGAGCTCAGAGAAATTCAGCAGATAATTGGCAGATTTGAATTAAAATCTGGATCTTCTGACTTCCAGTATCATGCTTTTGATACATCCATGAGTGCCAGGGTTTCATTGGATTATTAAGAAAATTCCAGACTCCACTCACCGTGACATCCATGATTTCCAACAACCGTGCTTGGAGTTTCTGTGTAAGGCAGAAACCTGGGCTGGAAGGTCTGTTACTCAGATGGCAGTTCTCATGTTTGTTCAGTCATTCTACAAGCAGTTATTGATGCCTGTACTATGGCTAGCCCTGTCGTGGAACTGAATCTAAAGGGCAAGAAAGACAGGTCTATAGCAGGTCCCATATGATGAGTGCTATAATGGGGGATATATATGGCTCAGAAGTGGCACAAGGTGATCAGTTCAACTTCAGCAGGGGAGAGGCCTAAGAAGGCTTCACAGCATATTATATACTTGAGCTTGGTGTTTGTATTAGTTATCCATTGCTGCGTAACAAATTATCCCAAAATTGAGCAGCTTAGAACAACAGACATTTATTACCTCAGTTTTCTATGGGTCAGGAATTCTGGGGCAGCTTACCTGGGTGGTTCTGGCTTTAGGTCTCATGAGGTTGTAGTCAAGATGTTAGCTGGGACTACTGTCACCTGAAGGCTTGACTAGGGCTGGAGGATCCTCTTCCAGGATGGCTCACTCACATGGGCTTTGGTGAAAAGCCTCAGTTCCTTTTCATGTGGATCTCTCCATAGGGCTGCTGCTGAAGACATGGCAGCTGGCTTCTCCAGGCATGCTGCGTGTACCACCTGGCAGCAGTGATCCAAGAGACAGTAA